TCGTAAAAGCGATTGACGACGGAGTAAGCGGGTTCTCGAGTGTATGCCACGCCCAGAAAGAGCAATTACTTGAAGAACCAGCTGGTAGGGACTGGATGATAAACGCAAGTATTTTACCTTGTGGCGTACTAATGAGGCCCATGTTTAGCAGTGGACTGTTATTATAGGCTAATGTGGTGATGACCACAGAAGTAGGTAACGAGCTAAGAAACTGAATGAAGCAAATGAACAAAATTTATTTATAATCTGATTTATTTGTAAATTCTACTGAAAGTTTTTGGACTTGTTACATGAAAAGTGCATTCGTTATATTTGGCGATATCGTAATCGAAGCACGCGCGTGCATCCCAAGCGACGCCCTGCCATGCACTGCACTATCTAAGTAATTTAAACTCTAGATTCACTGTTTGCACAAGCGACTGTTCGTGTGTCATCCGTAGGAGTAACCAACATTTTTATGTAAACTACTTTAAATAAAAATATTCCAAGCGCCTGTACGTGATGCTACCATAGGTTCTAACCGACATTGGATTATCGTATTTGGTCAAGTAAAAATTGTCTAAATAAGAAAAGAACCTTTGAAAACGGCGGGTAAAAATTGACCAAGCGACAATCAGATTTATTTTTAAGACAGGTAAAATATACTGAACCAACTGAATAAAGAAAAATTATAACAGGCATTTTTAACTAAACGCCAAGCACGCAGAAAAACGGGTATGCAAAAATTACTTAAGTGATGAAAAAACGAGATCTTTGTAAGGAAAAAAATAGCTATGCGCCTTACACTGTGTTGTCAGATTGAGGCAAAATTGACTAAGTGGAGAAAATACTGTACGAAGAGAACGGTAAAATTTGTCCAAAGGCAAATTTAGCATTATAAATTTCGATAACCACCAAATTTTCAAAAATGGTCGAAAATCGTGTCGGTTAGTCAACCAAAAAAAGTGAATTTTCGCGAATTTCAAAATGTCTAAGCGACATAAAAGTCATCGTAGAGAGACGTGAGTAGGACCAATCGACGCAGAAAAATCAGGCGATTCCAACAATGTATATAACTCAATTTGGCCAAAAATGTCGCTTAGATAATTTTGCCTTTCAAGCGTCGAAATGATGTTTTTACCGTTACGTTAAGCACTTCACTAAAGTACAGAAAAATACTGTATTTCAGTGGAGTTGTCAAAATAGTCTACTAGGTAATGGTGGCTTGTCCCTCATGTCCCCCATGATATCATAAGCCAACTGGCTACGCGTTGGCGGCGGACGATGGATGACACCTCCTCAACTCCTGCAGTTGATGGAGCGGATAATTCACTGGACTTGACAACTGTGTTGTGTTTCCAACGCCTTGTGAGTGATTGCGGATTTTCATTGGACTTTTGGAAGTGCGTCTTGCATATGTAGGTGAAAAATTCCTATAATCTAGGTCTACGAACAACTAAAATTGTAGACTTTTCTGCGTTATACATAAACTATAATTGGTTAAAATATAAATGTCGCACCAGCGTAGCTGTTTGGATGGCAGAGGGTTTTTTTTATAGAACCAAGATTTTAATTACGTATTTAAAACTTTTGCTACTTGGGAGCAAAATTTTCAATTTTAAAGGTTAATTTTTATCATTATGTTTGCAATAATATAGTAGAATAATGAAGACTGAAAATAGTAAAGCCTAGTTTCTTCTTCTAGCGTCTGGGACACCTAGTCGACGAACGTCCCGATACCTACTAGAAGACATAAAAGAGGCAAACTTTTACAAAACAGAGGAACAGAATTAAACTAGTACAACTATGCACAAGTGTTCCCACAACGTTCAAAACAATTGTCTCCACTTGTATCTATAATTATGTTGAAGAAACCCCAGGGTGACCACGGATCGCCAGTTCCATTCAGTCGCTCAATCAGTCCCAGCCAACCGCCACTGCGTGGTCACCCGAGCGAGAGAGCCAAATAGGGGACAATCGAAGAATGCCGGTGGTAAAGAAAATTTAGATTCTTGTGTCTTTCGTCCATATTAGTAGTTGGTGTTAAGAAGAATGCCGATGGAAAAGAAATTCCCACCCATCCCAAAAACATTTACTTGTAAAAAAAACCAAGTCTCGCCTCTCAGTTCATCTACTATAAAAAGTTGTGAGATCCATGTGATGCCAAGTCGGTTATTGATTTATTCAAGGACTACTTCAGGGAAATTTCATCTTAAGCTATTGCGTAATTAGTTAACAGACATCATCTTACAGTAACTGTATCGATATTTAAAAACTTTTATATTTACAATAACTAGAATGACCCGGCCATCGCACTAGACCATCGTATCTCACAAGCAAATAGTGTGCGATTGCCAAGTCATTTTAGTTATTGTAAATATAAAAGTTTTTAAATATCGATATAGTTACTGTAAGATGATGTCTGTTACCTAATTACGCAATAGCTTAAGATGAAATTTCCCTGAAGTAGTCCTTGAATAAATCAATAACCGACTTGGCATCACATGGATCTCACAACTTTTTATAGTAGATGAACTGAGAGGCGAGACTTGGTTCTTTTTACAAGTAAATGTTTTTGGTGGCATCTCATTTCTTTTTGTAGATAGTCTTCCTCTTTCTCTTATCTGGAACCACTTCTTGAGCCTCAGCTACAGATTTCCTCAAAGCTCATCCGCAAAGTTAACTTTGTAATCCTATACATTTGTATGGAAATACAAAGTTAGTTATGCGGTTGCAACCGAATTTGCAGAATGTTATAGATTTCCCTTTATTCATACACTAAATACAAGGTGTATTCTAAGTTTCAAGCTCCTCAGTCTGCTAGAAGTACTTACCTTAGAATTTTGATGATCGGTCAGTCAGTCAGTCAGTCAGTCAGGCAGAAAATTAAGAAACTTTGACTAACTATAACTACTAAACTACTGGACCAAATTAAATGAAATTTGAAATGTATCGTGTCTATGCAGTGCTTGATAAGATATTTTAAAATGAGGGTTCTAAACTTATTGGCAAGGGAGTTATGAGGGGGTCAAAAACGGCCTGAACTGGTTCGAGAAAAGGATGGTACGGCCGTGCCGCTTTCAGCTCGACTTGGTGGGGGCACTGCCGTGCCCCCAGATTTAGATTCTTGTGTCTTTCGTCCATATTAGTGGTTGGTGTTAAGAAGAATGCCGGTGGAAAAGAAAATTTAGATTCTTGTGTCTTTCGTCCATATTAGTGGTTGGTGTTAAGAAGAATGCCGGTGGAAAAGAAAATTGAGAGTGTTGGGTCTTTCGTTCACCTTAGTGCGAAACACACACACGAATCACGTCTATGTTCCTTGCGGGGTAGACAGTAAATGGCTGTCTGTTCTATGGTAGATAAAAGGGATATACCAGAGTTCATCGGTTTGTTTGCGTAAAAAAATGAAGTATAGGTTATAACTAATACATAATAATTATTTCAGAGTCCATACTAAGGATAATCTTCGAAAGGTAGTGGTTATGGTGGGTATCGTTTCTGGTAATTCTACCGACTGTCGATGTATTTGCGGACGCCGGTCGCAGTTACGTTAAGATTACATATTTATCTCCCTAACAAACCGATTCCTTATGGGGGCTTCCGAATGGATATAGAGCTGATCTTACCATTGCCTTGGCGAAAAAATATAATACAGACCGAGCGTGGCGGCGGCGTCGTAGTGCGGTCTTTCTGGCATCCCCATACAAACCAGTCATTTTGACGGCACAATTCCATACAAAAATCAGTCGGTTATCTTGATTAAATTGTGGCTGTGATCTGATTAAGTATGGTGGCTCACTCAGTAATAGCGACGATTTTTACTGACTTCATCTGGAAATAACTGGAATCTCAGGGAAACTGAAGGTTAGCCAATAACGAACGTGATATTTCTTGGATCAAAGTTGGCTCAGAATCATATGACATTCCTGTATCAGATTTTACTGTTTTGATGATCTTATCAAGTTCTTATACTAAGCTACATAAAGTTTAGCGATTGCCCCGCTTGGGTACAAGAAGCTTATCGTAGAGGACGAAACTCATACCGAGTTGTCGTAAGACACTCATGAGACCGATGCCTCGCAGATTCGCACCAGTAGTCCGTATGGACACAGTTTCAAATTCCAACTGTCGTAAGGTCACTTCCTTACCTGAAGAGATGAACTGAAATCGAAACAGTTGCCTACTTATTTTGCAAATATACTTTTCGTCTTTCGTTCTCTTTCACTAGTTCAGCGTAAAAACTGAACTAAGCTAGATAAAGTTCTTATACTTTGAGATTTTTGACAGTAGCAACCCTGGCTATGTAACAAGTGACGATCGCGAAAATCCTAAATAGGGTCGAGTGAACCTTCTGTAAATTCAACAAAATCCCGCGCGCAGTTTCCCTAATTTGTGGTATTATCATCTCTATATTGATCCTGCACCCTCAATGTCCAGTCCACTCGCTTGATCCCCAATATTGATTCGGAGATCAGCACGAAGCTCCGGACCTTATCATTGTTTTAAACCTCTGTCACATCGAGTGACCAGCTCATATTGACCCCTGATCCAATCATGTTTGTATGGGGTATAGGTTTAGAGAATTTGGTTTTCGTGACAAGCACATCTCTTCTTATTGGACACGGAAAGGTATCTACATATTTGTGACTTATTGGTATAGGTATTTAATGCACTTACAGTGCTGTACATATATTATCATAAATGAAAACAAGTAGATGTGTTAAAAAAACAAAAAACCTGACTGCGGTAATTCTGAAGTAGTATTTTGCTGTAAAAATTCGCCATCTTGAATCTATATTTTTTTAATATAGCCAATGTCACTCGCGCTGTTGAGACGAATCTAACGACACATCATATATGTATGTCAAAATCCGGCTATCCGTTTGGACTGTAGCCCGTGCAAAAGAATTTTCTTGTCCACATACATACATAGTACATACATACTGTCGAAAAACATAACCCTCCTTCTGAGGCAGTCGGGCTTGGCAGTCGGGTAATAAGAAATTGAGAAAAAAATAACATGCATCGGCCGGAGCTCGAACCCGGGCCGTATGGGTCAAGGCTCCACCGCTCTGCCACTGAGCTATCGGTGCACCGGTAGATGCCTGCCAAATTTTTCAACCTCCATCTATGAAGACCCTTGTCGGTTTAGACGAGTGTAGCAATCCAGGAGTCTTCCAAACTGGTTGCGTTCCAACCATATTATGAAGACCCTTATCCACTTAAATTAAGGTATTAACCTAGGGTTCTTCCAAAACTGGTAGCTCACCATCCCTATTCGTGATCCGTCATGGCTCCGAATTCGGGATCAACCTTTCGCTATGGTGTTGTAGTTTGGAATTTGATTTAGTGTGTATTGGATTTTGTGGGGATGTTTTTGTAATAGATACACGTTGATTTATTAGTGATTTGATTGGTCGAATGTTTGGGTGACCACACATTAGGGCTGTTTGTAGGATGAACTTTATTTTATTTTTGTCAAGTAGATTGCCTTGGATTTTGAGTTGGGTTAACATGGTGTATGACTGAACAAAGTGGATTGGGAAAGGGGCAATTCTGATCACGTATTTACTAACAACTTTTCCCTCGAAATAGCTGTGGGAGGCACATGTTTTTTCATATTTCTTTACATTTTCTATGGAGTTTGTAAATCCAAGAGCAAAAAATAAAATTCATGGGCAGGTAATCGATTCTCGCGTCATATGGCCACTAGGGCTCGCGGGCAATGATGTGGAACTTTGTGATAAATCAACAGTTTTAAATATTTAAGGATCGGACTCATGACAACGTATAATGCTTAAAAATGCGTTTAAAATTCTGTCTATACTTAGGGTTCGGATAAGATTTTCTACGTTAGTTTTTCCAATTTATTCTACACTAGCGGTCCGGCTTTTTCTCGGCCTGTCTGTGTTAGGTATCTTATGAACCTTTCCCTTAAATCGCTTTACCTTTTACAGAGAAACGCAAAATGCGACTTCATTAATTTTACAGTACCTGCGTATTGATTTTTGTCTTTAGGGAAAGTTGTTCCCAATCGCCCCTATCAGTCAAGGGGTGTTTGGGTCACCACCGGCTGTTGACCGATCCGATAGACTAACCCCTACCTACCCCGTATAGTAGTTAGCACTCAATCCAATCACGCGGGTGTGTCTGACAGTATCTTTATCTTATCCTTAGTTTTGGAACAAAATAAAGAATTTACAGAAGGACAGCTAGCCCTTCATCCGATCATTTATGCCTACACTCTAGGGTTGATACCTTTTATTTCTGAATTTATGAAATGCGGCACCAGGATCAAACGTACTTAGGTATATTACTTACATTATATCAAACTTACACTATGACACGCTATACAAAAATATTTACACTTGCGAGTCGTCATTTGGCCGTCCACTCGCACCGAACGCTATAATTAACACTCGCTACTAGACGGTTCTAAACGGTTCGAGATCGCGCGTAAACGACGGCTTGTAGTTGTGTGTGTGAGTGTAGCGACGTTTGCTTGTAGCCGTCTCTCTGTATTGGGTGCCGCCAATGCTTACTTTGTGTCCTAAGTTTTGGTGGGTGAAACATTGCTGTCTCGCGCCAGAAAGATTTAGGTGACTTTAATTTAGGTGTACGTGTACCATACACGCACGCTCAGGGTCACAGAGAACCAAAACGTCATTCGCGGTCCCCGATAGAGACGCCCTTTGAGCAATATATAGCCTGCCAATTTGGTTTACCGAATTGCCATTCCCAGTGTTGCCACCAGCTTATATTTCTCGAACTTGACGTCCTTTTTTGACTCCCACGTGTTATTTGTAATTTTACCATTTTGTTTGTAAATCACCCTTACTCTAATACTTATGATACAATAAATATAACAGCCGCAACAGTCCACTGCTAGACATTCCCTTATTAGGGGGGTATTTGCCATACTCACTACGCTTGGCAGGCGGATTGGCAAGCGCAGTTCAAGGTGATGTATTACGCCTTTATCTATTGCGGGGTAGGCAGAGCGTCAACAGGCAGGTGATGTATTCACAGAAAATTTTGCTGCCCATTCTCTGGAACGACTTTTTAGTGTGACAGCTGACACCTGTCATGTAAATCTCGTTAAGGCCTACAACTTTCCCAAAGAAACTAATAGTCTAGCACGCATAGTTTCTGATTTAAACGCCTTTTTAGTATGACAGCTGACACCTGTCATGTAGATCTTGTTAAGGCCTACAAATTTTCCAAAGAAACTAATAGTCTAGCATGCATAGTTTCCGATATAAACCACTTTTTTGTGTGACAGCTGACACCTGTCCTGGACCACAGGGAAAAAATAACGTACCCGTGGTCCACCAGGTGGACCAGGAGGTGGACCAAGGGGATAAAGGGGCCATTTTCAGTCTCTTTTTTTTTATTCAATCTCATACACTCCAAATTTAGGTTTTGGCGACGGATATGTGTATTTTGAAAAGACGGCTGTGGCAACACTTTAGGGTGAACGCACTCTGTTCCGAACCGTACGCACAGCACCCTGAGTGGCATAGAATTTCATACAAAATTTCTAAATATGACGCGTACGGAACGGTTAAATGAGCTATCACCTCAAATTTGCCTCAAATGACAAACTCGTTCAAAAACATTCAAAAATGACAGGCTTGTCTTGTATGAAATTTTGACAAAAGGCGTGTCTAGTAGCGCTGCGCGAAAAAGGTTTCATTTGTCTGTGCTCAGGGTGTATTGTGACCGTATTGTGACAGCCACCACACCATCAAATGACAACCTGTGACCATCCCTGTGACAGCCACTATTTTGATGCGGCGATCGACAGGTGCAATTATTGCAATATCTTCCTATTTAATTCTTATCTAATCCATTTGGTATACATCCAGTTTTTGCATGGGAATTTGTAAACTCCTTTCGTCAAAAAAACAAATTCTTCAACACAGAAAATCTACAAGAGTATTAGACATATTTTGTAAGTATAAAAAGGGGGGGGAACAGAGTCCTAAATATATGCCAGGGTGTAATTCAGATGCTTGCATTCGTGGTACAGACTGGTATATGGTTGGTACTCTAATTCCGAGTCCACACCTCCTAGCGGTCCCCCCCGGTAACTGCGGGGCGTTGAGATAGATCTTTAAGGTCAATATCAACGCTCTGCAGGCTAACGTGGCAGGGAGAAGTCGTCCCCGAAACGGTTGCTCGCGTGATGACTAGGCTATACGCCTTCTTTCAAAACCACAAACATGAATAACGCCCAAACAACACGGCCCTCAGTCCCCGGCAGCCCCACTATTCCTGGCTCCGGCAGCGGTCATGGTTACGGTGGGGCAGAGGGTGCTAGGAATCTCCGGCAGAGATCCGGCTGCCACACGATGACTTTAGCTACCTTTAACGCACGGACTTTAAAAGATGATGATCGGCTTCTAGAGTTGACAGAAGAAACAAATAAAATCAAATTCGATATCTTAGGACTATCCGAAGTTCGACGGAAGGGAGAAGACCTGACTAAACTTCCATCTGGGGATCTTTTCTACCATAGAGGAAGCGACGACACATCTTACGGAGGAGTGGGATTCCTAATTAAAAGTAAACTGGCTTCAAATGTCCAAAATGTAGCTAGTGTCTCAACACGAGTCTGCTATGCTATAATTAGGATAAATAAAAGATACCAGTTGAAAATAATCCAAGTGTATGCTCCTACCGGTGATCACCCAGATGATGAAGTTGAAGCCTTTTATGAAGACATCGATAAGGCTCGGCAAGAAAACCCATGTCATTACACTATCCTGATGAGTGACTTTAACGCAAAAATAGGCCTTCCGATACAGAACGAAATGTCAATAGGAAAATTCGGGCTAGGTCAAAGAAATGCTCGCGGCCAATCTCTAGTAAATTTCCTGGAACAGCATAAACTATTTGCCATGAACACATTCTTTAAAAAGAGACCAGCCAGAAAGTGGACCTGGATAAGCCCTGATGGACGAATAAAGAATGAGATAGATTACATCATAAGCAGCGACAAAAGAATAACAACGGATGTCTCTGTCTTAAGCCGTTTTAAGACCGGCAGCGACCACCGTTTGGTGAGAGCCACACTAAAGTTTGATGTGAAAGCTGAAAGGAAGACTCTGATAACATCTCCAAGTAATAAACATGCAAGTGCTGACTACAATTACTTAGGATCAAACTTTCAGCTGGAACTTAAAAACCAGTTCAATGAACTCCAGGAACAGAACCTAGATGTGGACGCACTAAACGATGGAATCTGCCAAATAATATCACACACTACAAAGAAGCATATGGGAGGTTTAAGACAGAAAGAACACAAACTCTCACCGGACACTTTGGATTTGCTAGAAAAGAGGAGAGAGATGAAGTTACAAACTCAAGCTGATCATCTAGAATTGCGAAATTTAAACAAAATTATAAATAAGGCTCTTAAAGCCGACCTCAGACGCTATAATACAAAAATAATCACAGAAGTCATAAAACAAAATAGAGGACCTAAAATATTTAGAAAGAAACTTGGAGGCAATAAACAGCAAATCTTTAAATTAAAAAACAACACTGGTGATCTCGTCACTGACCGCAGTCGTATTCTCAATGTTGTTGAGGACTTCTATCAGAATCTGTACACACCTAAAGCCTCTGAACCTGAACAACCAGACCCTTTAGACCCTAGGGCATACCCTACAGAGCATTACTCGGAAGAAGACTTGCCTCCAATAATCAAAAGCGAGTTTAGGGTGGCTTTGAGGCAAATGAAAAGGGAAAAGGCGTCTGGTGAAGATGGTATTAGTGTGGAGATGCTACAAGCAGGAGGAGACCCGGTTGCTGAAACTCTGATAGGGCTCTTCAACAATATATTGAGGAACAATATCAGCCCAAAAGCATGGAAAAACGCAATTGTAACAATTCTGCATAAAAAGGGAGATCAAAGTAAATTACAGAACTATCGCCCCATAAGCCTTCTCTCCCAGGTTTACAAGCTTTTTGCCAAAATCCTCTGCAATAGATTAACTCGAGTAATGGACGAATACCAACCAGTTGAGCAGGCCGGCTTCAGGAGTGGATTTTCGACCATTGACCACATCCATACAGTCAAGCAGCT